ATTTTCGTTAGGGAAAGCTAAAAATTTATCTTTAAGCAGAGTATAATGTTGATTTATATAAAAACAAAAACATACATTTGTTCATTACATGAAACCAAGAGCTTCTTGTAGATAGACATAACAATCTTTACAGAGTGAAATTGCTCCATTCTCAATTCCTTGTAACACCTTTGTTCGAGATAGGTTGTGATCTGAAAACAGTATTATGGAAATTGATGACCATTGCTTTCAAAAATTGTTATAGAGATCAAAACTAAATCCCAATATCAAAGAATAATAACTTGATGTGGAAATTCACCTTAGGGATACGAAGAGGGTTTTTCGCAGCATATTCGCATAGTTTACCGATTTTTCTATCATTAGGTTGCTCATCCTGCGGAGGAGAAATCAAAGTTAGTAGCACAATTTAGAAGAGTTTCATGACAGAGTCAATAATTATGTGTATAGTGAAAAAGTGTAAAAAACTGATTCTTTTCCAAAAACTCGATTCTCTAGAAAGTGTTATTACATATATAGGACTAAAGTAATAATGTGTTGTGTAATTTGGAGCTCCATCGTTATGGCTATGTGCAACAATTACACTAATCTCAATCGTAATTAAAAATGTTCCAACAATTTCGCTTGGCTAATGTCACAGGGGAATGTGACATGGTAGATTGATTGAAAGAGAATGCAAATTAGAACCTGGGATCGAGGGAAGATATCAGCGAGGAGATGTTTATATCTCTTGACGGGATGTCTCGATCTGGCTCGCAAAGCCGGACAAAAGCAACACAAGCTTTCGCATACAGGGAACACGGTTCTTGATACGACCCCCATCGATCTCTCTCTCTTACGCCAAGATTCGAACAAGCTAGGAAACGAGAGATTTCACAGACACAACATGAAATCAATGTATGGATCAAACATAAGCGAAGGAGTGGGATTGTTGGGATAACGAATAAGGATCAAAACAGAGATCCATCTGGAAAATGTGAAAGAGAAGAATTTGAGGAAGAAGAAGAAGAGAATCGACGAGGTGTTTTGTTTTGCAAAAAAAGGAGATAATTGCGGAACTTTCTCATATGTTTTTCAAAACCAAATTTTGAAAGTTTTTTTTTTTTGGCCTTCAATTTACTATTTTGTGTTTTTGGCCATAATAATGGATTAAACAAAGAAAATAATATTATTGTAATTAAAAATAATAAATGAATAGACGTTTTTGTTAGTGAGACGCCTGAACTTGTCATGACATTACCAAATTCAATTCATGCAGAAGAATGTTGAATAATTGGAGGGAACGTGAATAGAGGAACTATTTTTGGGTAAATACAATCACATCCTCTCATTCTCAAACCCTTAAAACAAATTTTAAAAGCTTTCTTTCTCTCCAAGAAACAATACTCTAATGACCGTACGCAACAACGTCGTCTATAGAGAAACAGACTTCAATACCACACACTTCAGTGGGTTTTTTTTGGATAGAATCGTGAGATCATGTGTATAGAACCACATCAATAGCATTTCATACTTACAACAGCTTGATTATGAACAGATAATCATAGTTCATAGAGAAGAAGAGCAACAATTTCCAAACATGTCTTTGCTTCTTGTGTTTTAAATGCAAAGAGGATCACATCTTCGCCCTTAAGGCCTTGAATAACAGCAATGCGAAAAAAGTAAAAATAAAAAGCTTGTGGGCTTATTAGGCCCATAGTTTTTAAGGGCCAACATTCAGAGCTGCAGGTCTACATTCTTCGGCCCGAACCAGTAAAACCTGCAGGCTTCTAGAGAAACCCATCCGAACCCGGTCAGAAGCGTTCATTGTTAATCATAACCGGTTCTTAAATTTTCAACCGAACGATTTGAACAAGTCGGTGTCGTTTAGAAAAGACAATTCCTACCCTTTTTGTCGTCATTAATTTGCCACTAGATCGAAACCCGCGCTACGCTGCGGGGTTTTTAAAAAAAAATATTTTTGAAGAAATTGTTTGATAACAAGTGGTTTTTAGAAAACAACATGCATGAAGTGAATTTAACAAATAATTTAAGTCTCAAGTAATTTTTGTAGATAAAATTTGTTTTAATATAAGTATTTATGGTAGAAATTTAAAAGGTTTCACGAAATTTTGTATTTTACCTTTACACGTATATTAGTTGTTTTTATTTTATAAGTTTATATATAAATACATTAGTAAATAACTTTTATATCTTACTTTTACGGAATCAATTTACCTTATAATCAATTTTTGTAATTGTTTGTTTTATTTTACGTTTTCATATATGTTTAATTTCTTACAAATATTAGATTATTTATATTGTGATATATATAAATATTTTTTCAGCGACTATTATACTTCAGAACCTTAGATTATTTTTGTTAAAATCATTTATGGTACACAAGCAAAATTTGAATACTACTAAAAGTATTTTAATATACCTTTTGTTTTAATAAATATTTTTTTGACCATTAAATCAAAATAATTAATACGCGAAGTTTTTTGTGTGTATTTTTTTCGTTAGAAGCTGAACACTATGAACAAGTTTTTAACTTTAAAACAATTCGATTTTCGAATTAGATCAGATCAATATTATAATGGGTCGACATTTTAACCGAACGAAACCAAACCTAGCAAACCAAACTCAAACAGATCCAAACCAAACCATAACTTACATTCAAACTATTTGATTATATTTCTTCTCAACCCGAACCGATAACCCAATCTATTTATTTATTTAATTAAATAATAATGTTGTAAATACTAATATGTAATGCCTTACCAACGTTGCTCTTGATTTAGAGCGTTAGATATTTATTTTCATTTTTAATTAATAAAATCTAAAATTAGATTAATTTTGTTTAAAAATCTCTACTTTTAAATTTCTTTAAGAATACACAACTAAAACCAAACCAAACCGAACCGAACAGAATATAAATCGATCTGAACACAAGCCAAATCATATCGAGGGGTTTTATAGTTCAAGTTTTGATCATTTTGTTAGAAAAATTCTTTAAAAGATCATATTTTTTTTATGATATACATATAAATGTTTGTCTTCTTTTAAAGCTTAAAACTTTTACCAAACCCGATAGTTAGTATTTGGATTGTCTCTTTCTAGCATTAATAAAATTATCTAACTGTCAATAAATATTATGAAAATAAAACTACTTTTGAATTCTAAAACAAAAGATTAATGACTTGAATTGTTCCTTTCTTTGAATGAAATGAGAGTTATATTATTTGTATTTGTTGTTATATCTCTGAAATTATGTACACTAAATCAACAACTGAACCTTTAGTCGCCTCAAGTACATTCTATAATTCCAAACTCCATTTTTTTTTTATTCAAATTAAACTATATAAAGTCTAAAGGAACATGGCTGCATGTGTTTGATTATTTATCGTGCCAATTGTTTTTGAATTTCTAAGAAGCTCCAAGAGCTTCAATCAAACCCGTGAGCTATTTTTTAGATTTTTTCTCCTTTTTAGTAGAGCTGAAAACATTGAATAATGATTAAAAATCTAACTTTGAGTTTAAGTAAGCAAACTTTCTCCAACTCATTTGCCTATTAGGTCTCTTCTATATCATATCCTCAGTTTCTTCTAAATTTCAGCCTTCACAAACCTTCTTTCACCATTCCTCATGATTTTCTCTTTTTTCCTCAATCGACCACTCATATTTTCTTATACATTTGGATCATGGAGTTTTTTATGTGATTCATTAATTGAGACTTGAAGGTAAAATTACCGGTGAAACAAAACATAGAAATTTATGCACTTTAAGACGAAAAGTAGATGTACTTTTGAAATATTGTTTTTTATTTATTTACAAATTTAAATATTTTTTACGAGTTTTTTTTTCTTTGTAATTTTTTTTTGGTATCTGCCTCCATTCGTGAAGGTATCAATTTTATTCTTTTTAAAAGAAATCATGTTTTGCATATATAAAAAAATTATGTTAGCTTAAGTGTTTGAAAAAAACATATAATGGTGTGACTACCTACGAAATGATTAATAAGCACCTTACGTTAAATTGATTTTTTTAATAGAAATTTAGGCATTGAGCTATTTTATTTTAATTAATTATTAGGTTATTTTTTTAAAAGTTTAAACCAATTGGACTTGAACTTGGGCTTGGACTTGAGTTTAATTAAATAATTATTAAGTGATGTGGAATTGGAAAGAGTTATTATTGGTTGAAAAATCTGAGTTGTATTAATCGAAATGTTTTGATTGGTTGACGATTTTAATGAGGTGTCAGTCCTACAATACTCCAAAATGCTGAGGTGTCAGCACTGGAGAGACTTTTGTTGTTTTTATTGTATTGATTATTTTAAGGGAAGAGTGGAGTTGCTATTATTCCGACATTTAAGTGTTATGTGTTTGTCGGATCGGATTCCATCTTAAGAATCTTATCTTATTCCCCCGAATATCATTGACTTTTTCTTAAATCTTAATTTGTTATGTTTGCACTTAAATCTCTCTTTTTTTTCCGTTAGTGCACACAACTCGTATTCCATCAATCAATGATAAAATAATTCTTACCAAATTAAACAAAAAGTTAAAATATCACATTATTCATACTAATCTTCTATATCTCACAAGAATAATGTGTGCACTAAAAGGATCACTGTTTGTTTCCGCGTGATGTGAACTAATAAGAGTCACCAATTTTGACCAACTCAAGACAACCTCTTAACTTCTTTGACCAACAATTTTAAAACCAAGAAACAAGTTACAAACGAAGACTTGACTTGTTTTTCTCTTAAAATCAAAGTGTAATTTTCAATGTGTCTATATACAATTCATTTTAAATCTAAAGCAAATTCCTCATTTTCTATTTTTTTTCCTTAGTTATGTATACATTCTTTGTAATGGAATAATAACATTAAAAAAATTAAAGAAATTGAAAAAAGACAGGAACTAAAAAATTAATGTAAAAAAGTAACTAAACAAAAAAAAAACTCAAAAAAGTTTAGTATTTCTCTTTGTCATTTCCCACACCAATCGCATTATAATCGATTTCTTCCAACTTCATTCAACAAAGGAGAAAAAAGGGGAACGAACGAAACCCTAATTTTGCTTTCTCATCTTGTTCACTTTACTCAAATTCCTTTTAGATTTCCCTCTATTCAATCTCCGATAGCTCACATGGCGTCTCGAAACTATCGGTTGGAGCTTTTCGCAGCTTCGTTAACCGTAACTTTAGCTTTGATTCACCTGGTCGAAGCAAATTCCGAAGGAGATGCTCTTTACGCTCTTCGCCGGAGTTTAACGGATCCGGACCATGTTCTCCAAAGCTGGGATCCAACTCTTGTTAATCCTTGTACCTGGTTCCATGTCACCTGTAACCAAGACAACCGCGTCACTCGTGTGTAAGATCCTCTTTTCTCTTGGCTCTTAGCTCTTGTTTTCGAGAAGTTGATTCGCCTATAATCTATGGAGATTCTATTGATATTTTTGCTCTATTTTTAGGACATAGATTCTGGGTTAGTTTCTATTTCTAGATAGTATCATTTGAAGTTTCTGTCGATTTATGTCCGAGCTTAAACATGATGGTATTAGAGTCATATCCAGACCCTTTTGTTTCAAGCTGTTATTTTTTATATTTGGTCGTTGTGGAAGATGTTAGATAAATTAACCATAATTGTTATTACTTCTTAGAGATTGACATGGATAAGAGAAAACAGTATTTCGTATGGGGATTCCCGTAATAAGCAAAAAAATGCTGGAAATAATAATATGAATTCATGAACAAGGCTTTGATTATTCGTAGTAGGCGCCTCGACGTCTTTGTTAGATGTTGTTAAGTCAAATGGAGATTTTGTTGGTGTTTGTGATGATTTTGTAGCTTTCCTTTGCCCTTGGAAACACTTCTTTATCAGATTGGGGGTAACTTTAATTTGGTTTCTTTAAGGTTCATGAGACTATTTATGATATGGTCCTTTTCGCAGCTTCAAATGCAGAGTACAACATTAAAGAAAAATCACTTTCTTGTTCAACTTTCCAGTATTAAAGGGCAAATCTAAAGCTCCCATGTTTTGCACAGTGTAGACTTTTCTAGTCATTGGATTCCTTGAAAGAATCTCTAATAGTTAGTTATTTCATCTATTAAGCAGTTCAATTTTACTTGTACCTCATGATTTCCTCAATGCTTTGTTACTGATCTAGTTTACTTTTTGGTCCCTACTTTGTGAGTCTTACGCCTTTAGAAGAATTTTGGATTCTTTGTACTTGATTACATTTGATTATCTCTCAGAACTGTTTGATGGATCAAGAGAACAGCTAATTGAGTATCTAAAACTAATGCTTATCTCTTGTTCACTTATGCTTTATTGTCTTCTTATTCTGTGTTATACATATTGATATTTTGCTCCCAAATTGTATCTCTGATTCTACGAATTTTTGCAGGGATTTGGGTAATTCAAACCTCTCTGGACATCTAGCGCCTGAACTTGGCAAGCTTGAACATTTACAGTATCTGTATGCCATTACTCTTTTGACTTTTGTTTTTCTGAAATTCATACTTTTCCTAATGCCATTGTCAGCTTTAACATTGTATACCATATAATCCACCTAAACTGTTTGCTTTCAGATTGTTTGTGTTATAGACAATGTAAGATTAACTCTTTACTTGTCCTTTGATTGACACAGAGAGCTCTACAAAAACAACATCCAAGGAACTATACCTTCCGAACTTGGAAATCTGAAGAATCTCATCAGCTTGGATCTGTACAACAACAATCTTACGGGGATAGTTCCCACTTCTTTGGGAAAATTGAAGTCTCTGGTCTTTTTGTAAGTTTCTCTCAGACTCTGGCATGGACACGCCGAACAATATACTTAAGACTTCTTTAAAAACTGCAAATTGGTTTATCAAATGTTGAGTAAGAAAACAAGAGTGTTTATGTGGGTTGTTCTCCAAGACCTGATTATTTTTGTGATGCCTCTTCATTCTCTTGTCTCTCTAAGAAACTGTTTAATGTGGCAGACGACTTAATGACAACCGATTGACCGGTCCAATCCCTAGAGCACTCACGGCAATCCCAAGCCTTAAAGTTGTGTAAGTTCAGCTTGATCATTGTTTGTTTGTTAACGCTCTGCTGCAGTTCTCTGAGTTACCAGTCTTTGAACCCATTTCTATCCAACCTATTGACTTCATCCTCTTACTTGAAAATACATATTTTCTTTGTCTTGCTTTTCTCAGTGATGTCTCAAGCAATGATTTGTGTGGAACAATCCCAACAAACGGACCTTTTGCTCACATTCCTTTACAGAAGTAAGTTTCTTCTTTCACTTAGCCAACAAGTTTCTTGATAATATATCCCCCTGCATTTGCATTTTTTGTCACCCAAATTACAACTGCTTTGATAAGTGTGAAGTCGAGTGTCGTCTTGTTACGGATATCGATTGAATCGTATGTTTCGTATAAAGTATAAACTGATAAAGTAGCATATGAGCATTTGTTTCTAATAACGCAAGACAATTGTGCAGCTTTGAGAACAACCCGCGATTGGAAGGACCGGAATTACTCGGTCTTGCAAGCTATGACACTAACTGCACCTGAAACAACTGGCGAAACCTGAAAAAGAAGAATTGGGGGGTGACCTTGTAAGAACACTTCACCACTTTTATCAAATATCACATCTATTATGTAATAAGTATATATATGTAGTACCCCAAAAAATGAAGAATCGAATCTCAATTGAGACAGAGCACCCAAAGACTGAGTGGTCTGTGTATGTAAAATTTCTAAATGCGACTTTCGCGTACTGTAATGTTCGTTGTGGGATTCTAAGTAACATTTGTATTGGTATGGTATGGTATCAAGTTGTTTTGCCTTGTCTGCATTTAAAACACTTGTGTTAGATCTGTTATATAAAGCCAAAAAAAGGGATTGGGTGATTTATTGATATCATTTTGTTTTCCAGTTCGAATCCCATACCTAAAGGTTATCATATCCATCGTACTGCCCATATAGTCCTTTATCAGTCACATGTGAGTTCGGCCAAATTGCAAAAATAAGAAAGGAAACACGTGTTGTGTTGTGTCTCCTATCTTTGGATGGTACTGTTTATAACCACAATAGGAGTTTGTGGCTTATATAAAGAACCACGTTCTTAATATCCTCGAATTATTGTGTTACTCACCATGGTTTAATTGAGAAATTTTGGATTAGTTTCAACTAAGTCCATATAATTTTGGGACCAATGACATGTATTGTTATTATCAATAACACATATTATGTTTAAACACGTAATATGTTTAAACAAAATTGGCAGTATATTGATTTGAACATGATTGTGAAGTATCAATGATATTAGTGACACTTGTCATTGTCAGTTTCTCTTTTTTTTGTCAATTAAACACCAGAAGCAATTTCATAGCAATAATAACAGCACTACGGCAGTGAATTAACACATAAAAATCACATGGAGACAAAGTGAGAGCTACATTATTTTGTGCATGGTTGAAATTTAGAAACCCACGTGAATGTACGCTCGTATTTATACGTACATAATTGATCGTATGATTTTCGAAATTTCGTATTCAATAATTACTCCCGTGTCCATCATAAGAAACTGCCAAAACAAATGGTCCCATCGATCTTGTCGTCTTTTCTTTTTCGTTTGTAATGTTTAACTTCAACCACTAATATCCACACAAAAACAAAACTGACTCTTAGACCAACAAAAACAAAATAAATAAGAACCCACTTTTGTTTTTAAGATTTTTGAAATGTTTCAACGATTGCCTTTGTACATATCTGTACAAAGCCTCTTTCATACACTTACATAAGCTACTTTATAATTCGCAAGCCACGCGAAAGAAAATAAAGTGAAAGATTCCATGGCGGTAATTGCGTGGTGGTGGCTACTTACGGTGGTTGTGGTGGCGTTTCACTCGGCGTCCTCGGCAGTAATAGAATCAACGTGGGAGGTTGAGTATAAGTACTGGTGGCCGGACTGTAAAGAAGGTATCGTTATGGCCATCAACGGCCAGTTTCCAGGGCCAACTATAGACGCCTTCGCCGGAGATACAGTCATCATCCACGTCGTCAACAAACTCTCCACCGAAGGTGTTGTTATCCATTGGCACGGCATACGTCAGGTTATTAGATTGCTCTAAATTTCTTCCTTTATATACAAATATAAGTATGTAATGTGACAAGAAGCATCAACAAACAAACAAAAATGTGACCATGAGCTTATTCTATACAACTATATGTTTGATTGTGTTACGAATTAGAAACATAAGTTTTTATTCAACAAAAAAAAATACATATGTTAACCGTTGTTCTGCGGATTTTCAGTTAAAACTTGTTTATTTTAGTTTATTTTCTGTGATTTTGAGGTGTTTCTAAGGCAGAACCACTCTAGTAGTGACTAGTGTAGTACTGTGTATACAGTCTGTATAATTCATTTTCTTAAAAGGATTAACAAAAACTGATTTGTGATAATGGAACAGAAAGGGACTCCATGGGCAGATGGAGCAGCGGGTGTGACACAATGTCCTATTAATCCTGGCGAGACTTTCACTTACAAGTTCATTGTCGATAAGGTTTTAACTTTTTTTTTTTTTTAAGAATATTAAGAAATGATGAATCAACAACATTATTTGGTTGGGGGATGATATGATGCAGGCGGGAACACATTTCTACCATGGACACTACGGAATGCAAAGATCAGCGGGACTATACGGAATGTTAATAGTAAGATCACCGAAAGAGAGATTAATTTACGATGGAGAGTTCAATCTCTTGCTCAGTGACTGGTGGCACCAAAGCATTCACTCGCAAGAACTCGCTCTTTCTTCTCGCCCAATGCGTTGGATCGGTGAGCCTCAAAGCTTGTTGATCAATGGAAGAGGACAGTTTAATTGTTCACAAGCTGCGTATTTTAACAAAGGAGGAGAAAAAGATGTGTGTACGTTTAGAGAAAATGATCAGTGTGCACCTCAAACTCTACGGGTCGAGCCGAATAGAGTTTACCGTCTTCGAATCGCTAGCACCACTGCTCTTGCTTCCCTCAACTTGGCCGTTCAAGTAAGTTTCTCTCTTCCCAATTTATTATTACTAAGTAACATGTTTCTGATTAATTATGGTTCGATTCTAAATCATTATGTTTGGTTCAAGAACTATTCAACATTAATTGAAATCGAATCTAATACTATTAAATTGATCCTGGTTTTATTTGTTTGAATCAAATGAATGTTATCATTGTTTTGAATCAAATAAATGGATTAACTTTAGAGAACTTTAACTTCACTATTTTTTTCCCTATCGTTTTTTAAATTATGGGTAAAATATAACTAGATGTCTAGATTCATTTACACATGAGATAAATGCAAAGACCAACTACATTGAATAGACATTTTTCGTTCCACGTTTTTCAGAATAAGTATTTTAATTTGACAAATTATTACTTTCATGACATTTGCATCAATAATGAGAAAAAATTATGTGCATATATGTATAGATTTATACTTGAGAAACAAAAAAAAACAAACACCTACGTACTTACGGTCACACACGTGACAGGGACACCAGCTAGTTGTTGTTGAAGCCGACGGCAATTACGTAGCACCGTTCACCGTCAACGACATTGACATTTATTCCGGCGAAACCTATTCCGTTCTTCTCAAAACAAACGCACTTCCATCAAATAAGTACTGGGTCTCCGTCGGGGTTCGTGGTCGAGAACCAAAAACTCCTCAAGCACTCACCGTGTTAAATTACGTCGACGCAACTGAGTCACGCCCATCTCATCCACCACCGGTGACTCCCATCTGGAACGACACAGATCGGAGCAAAAGCTTCTCGAAGAAGATCTTCGCCGCAAAAGGATATCCAAAACCGCCGGAGAAATCACACGACCAGCTCATACTCCTCAACACACAGAATCTATACGAAGACTACACAAAATGGTCAATAAACAACGTCTCGTTGTCCGTACCGGTGACACCATACCTCGGTTCAATCAAATACGGTTTAAAATCGGCGTACGATTTAAAATCTCCGGCGAAGAAATTCACAGTTGATAATTACGATATCATGAAACCGCCGCCGAATCCAAACACAACGAAAGGTAGCGGAATCTACAATTTCCCGTTAGGAATCGTCGTCGACGTGATTCTTCAAAACGCAAACGTTTTAAAAGGTGTGATTAGTGAGATCCATCCATGGCATCTTCACGGTCACGATTTCTGGGTTTTGGGTTACGGAGAAGGGAAATTTAAACCGGGGATTGATGAGAAGACGTTTAATTTGAAGAATCCGCCGTTACGGAATACGGTGGTTTTGTATCCGTATGGATGGACGGCGTTAAGATTTGTAACGGATAATCCTGGGGTTTGGTTTTTTCATTGTCACATTGAACCGCATTTGCATATGGGTATGGGTGTGGTTTTCGCTGAAGGAGTAGACCGGATTGGTAAGATGGAGATACCGGATGAGGCGCTTGGTTGTGGATTAACCAGGAAATGGCTCATGAACCGGGGACGCCCTTAAATAAACCGGTGTTGGTATGTTTGATATGTGTTATTTTTCCTCGTCGGCTTTTATTAAAGAGCTATTAAATATCTTATTAATTTTGTTACGCGTGACAGCATATTAGTTATGATGGTCGTACATAACTACATATTAAAGAGCTATTAAATATCTTATTAATTTTGTTAACCCGCTACCTATTATACATACACTAATTTGGTTTTCTTAAAACAAATATATTTAAAAAATATTAAAATATTTATAATAGACGGTGGGTTAAATATAATGTATTATATGATGGAATGAGTTATGATCCTTATAACTATTTTAATATTTATATTTAAGTTCATACAATTATTTTAAAAAAATTCTTCATTTTATATTCTACAATAAAAAATAAAAAAAATATTTTAATTTGGAAAATTTTAAAAATAGCTTAATATAATGTTTTAAAGAATATCATAAATATTTAATAAATCAAAAAATAAAAGTTAGAAAAACTCTAATTTCATTTTTCAAAGCATAAATATTTAAAATATTTATAGCAAACAGCATATTAATGTAATGTATTATACTAGATCATCACCCGTACTAAAGTACGGGTTGAATTTTATTTATTACAAAATATATATATATATATATATATTAGAACTAAGTTTTAATATATTATAATAGTAAATAAAAAAAATATTAATTTTTTTGACAGTCCATATATACAATATTAGAATAAATATAGAATTTTTTCTATAATACTCAATTATGGATAAATTTTTTTTAAGATATGAAAACAGAAAATAATTTTATTTTTTAAAAAGTAATATTTTTCGAACAATGAGTTACTTTATGTTAACAACCACAAAATAGGATTGCATATATTTCAGTTATATCAAAAATTAAAATATCATAAATGAATCGCATATAAAACATAGATTATTTTGAATTAATTAAGAAAATTAGCTATTATTTTGAATTAATTTAGAAAATTCTTTTTCAATTATAATTCTTTGGTTGTTGAAATAGAGATTTGTTTGAGCTAATCTAATTACAGAATTTGTTTGAGATTTATAATTACGAAATTTACCAATTATACGCATAATCGAATATGTTATAAACATATATTTAGTATATAATAATACTAAAATCAACCCGTGCGTGGAGTCTATATTTTTATTTTAGAATCTCAATATTTCATTTTAAAATATTGCGTGCACAATCTATTATTCGTTAATTCTAAAATTGCTTGCGGAATCAAATTTTCAAATATTTAGAGGTGTCAAACCATATTTAAATGTTATACACTATTTTTAAATATTCCAAATTAAAATCTTTAAATATTTTTTGTAGTTTATAAAATTATGAATTTCAAAAAACAAATTATATGAAATTAAATATAACTATTCAAATAGTTATAAGGATCGAAACTCATTTCATCATATAATATATTATATTTAACCCGCTTCCTATTATAAATATTTTTAAAAATAATCAAATTAGAGTTTTTATAATTTTTTAACTTTTTGAACTATTAAGTATTGATGATATTCTCTAAAAATATCAAGTAAATCTTATTTTAAATGTTGCAGATTAAAATATTTAAATTTTTATTGTAGTATATAAAATTATACATTTCAAAAAAATAAATGTATGAAATCGAATATAAATATTCAAATTCTGACCCGTTGCTCAGTCGGAATTTTTGTTTACTTTATTTTTGTGTAAAAGAAATATATTACTCAAGTTTGAATTTTTGACCCGTTTAATTGTTTCTTTTATAGATTGAACAATTTATATGCGTTTTTAAAAATTCAAATCTTGGCATATGCAGAAAAAAATTACTTTTTTTTATTATGTAGATGATATGATGATTTATTTGTTTCATATTAATATAATCTTATTAAGATGAGAGGTGAACTTTAATGATTAATAACAAATTAATATGGTAAGTTAGATATCAAATCTTATATGTTCATTTTGATTGGTCATTTAAAAAAATAATAATAACAGATTTTCGTTTTATAATTTAATTAAATTAATTAAATGACATAAATTAGTATTTTACTTGTTTATCCTTAATAAATTGAATGAAATTTGTTCTAAAAGAAGATTTTTGTAATGGCATTCTTAAGTAAATTTTTACAAAAGAGAAGGTTAGTTAAGGGTATCTTATAAAGTGTACTCCCCAAATAATAGTATAGGATGATAAAAAGAGTTATGATCTTTATAACCGAAACCATATTAAGATTATATGATGAGATGAGTTAAATAAGATTTGACACCTCTAAATATTTAAAATTTTGATTCTATAAGTATATATGAAAATAATGAATGATGGATTGTGCACACAATTTTTTCATTGGGATTCTAAAATAAAAATATAGGTACGCACAGGTTGAATTTAATCTTATTATATACCAAAATATGTTTATTATATACGCAATTTTTTTTCACTTACTACTAGCATATATCAAATACATACGTTTTACTTTTAACAAAAAAAACGTAAAAAACCGTAAAAATCGAACTGTAACTAAAACCGAATTACATACGGTTTCTATATAGTTTCACCTTCTACAAAACGAGAAAAACGATACTAAACCGAAAAACCATACTCCACCCCTAATATTTTCTCATCAAACAAAATAAAATAAAATAAAAAATCCTTATATGTCATTGTATTATGTAAGAATTATTAAAATTGTACTATAAAACAAACAATAATCCAACTTTATATAAATATTTAAAAATTAAAATTTCATCCGTGCTGTTCCAGCACGGGTTATGATCTAGTCGGTTGATTAACTCGTTTTTACTTATCTTCTGTCTGCTACTTTTTTTAACATTTATTACCTTCCCTTGCAAGGGAAACACACCATAACGGCGACGAGTCTCTTCCGGAAAGACATCCAGCGCCAGTTTCTGAACATAAAGACTATTAGTACTGCATTAGTTTGCCTGCCTATCAGATAAAGGATCAGAGAACTTACTACAAAACGTGCGGCTGAAATTCCTTCCGACAAAATAAGAGTGCACAGATGGGCATTTTCTCCTCCCGCTTCCTTTGCATCATAAAAACCCTTGCTGTCAACTTTGGTTTTTCCCACTCCCAACATTTGCATAACCTTCGCCAAAAAATCTTCTGAAAGTTGGTAGTCCGACCCGAAATTGCTCTAAGAAACCCTAGAGACTGGAGCGACCAGTGGCGGACCCACGTTATAGGTTGGGGGGTCATCTGACACCCCTTAAACTTAGATATTAAATATTTTGCTTGATATTTGTTAATCGCAAGTGGCTCATTTGGTTAAGTTCACTCAATTTAACCCCCTTAATCTGGGTTCGAACCTTCAGTCTGACCTCTTTTTTATTATTATTATCAGATATTTTGGGCCATAGCCCATTATTGCCTCCCTTTAACCTTTTTTTTCTTTTTCTTAATCATCATTTTCTGGGTCAACAGCCCATAATTTTTAGTTTTTGTGTTTTTTTTTCTATATAAGACTGTATTTATAAAAATGTATCATTTTTCTTTTTATAATTTTGTTGACCCCTCTTTTTAAAGTGACTTAGTCCACTTCATATATGTCACAATATCGCTCTTTTATATAGTAGCACCGATTGTTCATTTCCAGGACGTATAAACTTTTCCACCGATTGAGACTATTGTAGGTTGCCAAAAGTATATTAACTCGAAATAAAATACTATTACCAGAGATACAAGTATACAACAACACATAGCGTGACATAAAAATAGTCTAAAGTATGAATCATTGTGGTGTCATAATTAATATATGGAGCCATCCAAATTAGAAATTCTGTGGGTAACCATTCCTTTCCAGATCACAAATGAAAATTATAATACAATTTATTTTGCTTGTTAGTAGTAAGTTTCACGAGTTTTTCGTGGAGCTTTCCTTACTTCTCTTTTTCATCAACTCACTCATTTGCACTTTTTAGAATTGAATTTAAATTTGATATGATACTATATATATCACTGGTATAAACTATTAGGCTACAAATTATTGTCATCATATTTTGTTAGAACCGATGTTAAAAGCAAATGAGACTGGTTTTATTACTGGAAATGTAATGAAAAACTGTTTCAATTATTTACATAGATTAGATTAGGGAGAACAAGTGTATTATTTAAAAACTTAATCATCTCTAACTGGATTTAGACCCGGCCCACTAGTAAAAAACTCAAAACTACGGCCTAAATATTATATTTAGGAACATGCTTTAACAAGTCTCTTGTAATACTGTTGCTAGCCGTCGAACAGAGATTCAAAGCATATTAACAAAGTTTCGTTAACAAAACAAAAGTTTCGTAAACTTTAATTCAAAGATATAAAGCGTTCTAGAAAATTAACTATTATTATTTCAACATTTTCCATGAGATGAGGTCGGGAGGAGGGGGAAAGACAAATGTCATCGCAGAAAGTTATAGACGTGATGCGTGGTTGTAAAGTACTAAAATAAATTAAATTATGTAAGTTTTAGTTTGACACGATCAATTATGTTGACAAAATATTAATATGATCGATTCTAATTAGAATATCAAATATATATATATATATATATATGTATATATATATACACAAGTAAGACGTATATAAATTTTGACATATACCTAAAATATAGGCTTTTATGTGATAGTTAACTTTACGTACATGTTCAAAACAACCAAGAAAGAGCTTTATAAAGGTGGCATTACAAAGATTGTGAACGTGATCTCACCGTCTAAGACAAATTCAACCTTGTCACCCTAAAAACATGTAACATGAGATCACTACTATACCGAATCTTCTTGAGATATTTTGATTGTTTACACGATCACAATTATGTCCATTAACCTTGTGACCATTCTTTTTTTTTTTTTGTGACCATTCTAAAACCCCAAAATTAAAGAAAAAGAAATAAATATCCTTTTTGACCAAAAAACCCAATCTATGGTTTTGCCCACTATCTCTCCCTCTCTCCTCCTATATATATGTCTATGATGAGCATATACATCATCATTCACATACACAAAGCCAATGGGTGTGTGGTGGATAGTGGTGGTGGCTGTCTTGACTCACACGGCGTCTGCCACCGTGAGAGAGTATGATTG